TCATGACAACTATATAGATGTTAATGTTGAAAATAACTTAAATTATTTTAATTTCAACTGAGTATTGAACAAAAACTACATCGCGAATTTTTGAATAACAAATACTCAACCTGAGGGCTAGTGGTTTTGCTAGTGGCTGAATGGTACAGTTTTACAAAGGAACTGAAACAAATACTTCTGTTTAATGATGAAAAGCAAATTATTTCACAATTGTGGAGTTTTCCAGACTTTAATACAACTTTTTCTAGGCCTGGAACATTTTCTAGGCCTGGGCTAAAAGTCCCTCTTCTGTGAACTTGGTTGTAGAGGAACCTGCAGTTAGGATAGTGAACAGTGAGGGACTCAAGTTCAAAGTGTAAGAATGGCCAGAGCTATACAGTAAAATACACATTTTCTTGCAAATACCGGGACTGCATCACGTTTTTTCACCAGTGTTTTTGTCATACTCCACCGAGGATCAGGGGCTCTTGATCTAAGCAAGAGAAAGTGTTGTGGTAAGTAAAGCAGCAACACTGAGCCACAATTGCTCCTGTTACCAAAGAGACATCTCTCAATACCTTTGCACTGTACCACCTAGGGGACACGAGGATGGATTTGTATCATACAAAATGCATATAGAAAAATTAAATGTGTTTGTCTTATTTGTCAACAAAGAAGTGCTTTTAAACAGTGCCATTTAGAAATATGCAGATGTCTTCTCTTGCAGTATTCATAATTAATGCCATTGAATATGGGCAGTAAAAACTAGGGCCTTCCTTTAATTAGCCAGAGTGCATCAGGTGAAAGTGGTTTATGTATTATTCACCAGCTTTGTTCTCCCATTTGCTAACAAGCGTAGTCAATGGAGAGGCTCTCAAGCATTAACTGCCACACTATACACTCTTACACCCTTCAGGGTGTTGTAAGTGTATTTCTTTGAAATAATAGCGAAACATAAACCAGTAGCGTATTGTCATAGCCTTGCTGTGTGCCAGGTCAGTGTCACAGAGACAGAGCCTCTTTACACAGCTGCCTTTGGACTAAACTGTAACAGAAACAGGCCTGGTTGACAGGAGGCAGTGCTGTGGCAGCCATGGTAGAGTGTACCTCAAAACGCAGACATCGAGCCTCGAAGGGAATGTGCCTGCGAAAGTCTCTGATATATAAATCAATGTCTCACTTCTTAGTCCCTGGGTAATGTCTCTCGTGTTCTTGATGTCTTCATTCGCTCAGTCGTTAATCAGCAGGATTTGGAGGAAACCTGTCTAGGAATGAGCATTCCAATATTTGTCTTCCTCAGTGATCTTTCATCATTCTTATTGGGGAGAAAACACAGTGATGGTTTCTCTTGGAGTTGCACCGCTGTAACCTTCTCAGTGAGCCTCAGTAGTAAAAGCCTGCTGGTTTCCCAGGATGGTCAGCCCCAGCCTCACTGTCAGGGCCGGAGTTGGAGGTTTTCAAAGGCTCCTGACAAAAACCTGGTATCCTAGTGAGTTTAGTAGAAAATCACACAGCAAATTCACCCCATCCACAGTGTAAACTTTAGACAATTTTAACTGTTTAGTGGAGTTAAAAACAGTAACTAACACGTAAGCAAAGTGTGCTTCTTCAGAAATAATTTTTAATCTTCAGCACTTCTTTTCCATTCAATCACCCAACTCAAATTGCTTTAAGACTGAATTACCAAACGATCCATTCACTGCTTGTCCTAGTGAGGGCTGAGACAAGTTCTGCACTAACTCAATTCTGCAAACTAAATGACGGCTTGTCTAAACAGCTTAACACCTTTTGTAAGAGGTATCTTTGTAATTTTAGACGGCTACAAGCAGAGAAAGATCCAAAGTGACACAATGAAAGACACTGTGAGTAGTAGTGATATTGAGACCAGCCCCAGCGTGACTGCATCCCTATTAACTGTAACATCAAAAGGACCTGGAAATAAGAAAATATGAGAAATAATTATTTCAGTGAAATGCCTGAAAAAGTAAATATCCCGAACACATTTTGTGTGCTTTTGTTCATTTCCCATTATTTAATGGAGGACATTGCACAAGAATAGTGAGCAGTGACACATTTACCTTAAAGAAAAGGAATGGAAAGAAATCTTAGCAATTGAAAAGAACGGAGGGGTTAATAAGCTATCAGAACCTTCTGTCAGATAGTTGTCCATGGCAACTGATGAGTCTGCAGAGGCTTTTGATATTCACTGGGCAGGAGTCACAATCTGCAGAGGAACCCGCATAGCACTGATGCAGTTCCCCTTTTCTTTTGAACCCAGCAAGAATAGTAGTTCAGGAAGCAATGCCTCAGCTAAGCTCACCCACCGTGCCTCCTGTGCTGATGTGTGGTGTTGTGCCAAGCCATCTAACTCATGTGTTAGTGACAAGAGTTAGAATTGTCATGTTCATCCTCCTTCAGCTACATTTCAGCACTGATGTTTTCAATAAGGCGCACCAGCTTTTGACCAATACGGTAAAACAGGGGTGTGAAGAGGCCTGACATGCATGATCAAAAAGACAAGAAAACAGCCTTATTTTAGAATGTCGGAGCTTTGTTTTTGAGGAGCTCTTTGATACTGTGCGACTGCAGCACAACAGTTTCCTGCCCTGTGCTGTGTGCAGCAATAAGGAAAACCCCTTAAGAAGAAAGAAACCTCAAGAAAGGTTACCAAAGAGATGGGACCCATTCAGCCTGGCCTGTCTGGTGGCTGGTGAGAATGAGCTTGAGTTGGGAACCACTGTCGTCAACATGGCTGCACAGCGTGTTCCAAACTCCCACAGCCCTGTGTAGAATCAACGCGTCCCCTTGTTCTCACTTGTAAATGTGCCTGCATTTAGCTTTCAGAGTGGTGTAGTGAGAATGTCAAGATGGCATATACTCGCTCTTAATCACTTCTTGTCAAAGGCGCAGCAGGTCCGCAGTGTATAAGAAAATCCCGAGAACGACTTAATGGATGTGTTCAAACCCTGCCCAGCCATGTGGAAGAGCATTTTCCATGTTTTAGTTTTACAGTAGAAATAAATGAAGAATCACTGTAATGCCCGAATGGTAAAAAAAAACCTAACATGGCTTGTGATGACACCACTGAGCTTTACTTTTTTCATTATTTGCTTTGTGTCAATGGCAGACGGCCTTTGACAGTGGCTTCGTTAGTTGTCACGTGCGTCTGTTAATCAGTGGGGGATGTTTGAACAGCACAACCTCCAAATGCTGGTTGTCCAGACATGCCCTAAATCCAATTATCTAACCCAAATTATTTAGTTTAGCGGAACTGCTGGTGGAGCCCACCCCGGCCTCTCCTTCAACCAACAGTCGCAATCCCGCAGGAGTGCAGCCCACCCCTCCCCCCACACACCGCCCTGGCAACTGCACCACGCCAACAGTTACCAGGCAACCAGACAGAGCCCCCGGCAGCGCAGTGGCGTGTGTATAAGGACAGCATGACAGCCAGGAGGATACACATTACTAACAGCTACAGGACAGGTCTGGGGGGATTTCCTTGTTGCTGATTAGTTTGGGGCTGTAATAATGCCCCAGACAGATGCAGATTATTAATCTTATGGTAGCCTATTAGCATTGATTCCAGATTTATCAATCGGGTACGGAGGCTCACACAGGTAAAGGTATGCATTATCTTTTCACACAGGTCACCAGTGCCCTCGCTGCACACTGTCAAGTGCAACGAATAAACACAAGGGCTACCTAACACTGATCCTACTAAACTTGTTTCTCTGGGTTTAAAATCTATGCAGGAAAGAGATACTAGCGGGATTCGTATTTTAGCTGGGTTCTGCACCCTAAGCCAGTCTCAGGTCTGCTGTGAGAGTCTTGGAGGGATAGGTGTGAATGGTCTTCTACAGAGGTCTTATTGGATAATTATATGATAAAAGCCTCTTGTTCCAGATTTGGTTCATGGATATGTGAGATAAGTCCATTATAAGTCCAGCAGAATAAGGTACCATTGCTTACGTGTTTTTGTCATACGGTCTTTTTGGTTCTATGGAGCTTGACCTGGGTTTCTTTGACATGGTCATGTAAGTAACAGCTTTTGAACAACACCTTAGTTTCACCTTAATAAATTGGAAAGTGAACAGTAGCACAACCAAATGATTTTGTTTGTGGGTAGCTTAACCAAAAAAAGGACTGACATCAGAGTCAGCTCGAATTGGGTACCAAAGGTATAGATTTTAGATCCTTCAGGAAATAGATTGATGAAGCTTGAATCTACTAGCTGGTACAGTGGCATTGCCACCCTATAGCTTGATCTAATCTGGAAGCTAAGCAAGGCTGGGAAGGATCAGTAGATTGAAAATCTTGTAAAGTGAACCAGATAGCTTCTATAAATGGTGCTGCTGAACCACTAGATGGTGTTCTTCTCTCTGGACCAGAATTGGCAAGCTAATACACCAGTACAATGAGTATGCTGATAGAACGGTAGTTCTTTGGAGGAGGCATTAAAGAGACTGCTTAGTTGTTAATAATTCTATAGCACTGTTTGTAAGAGCTAGTATTTTGATTGCTGTGCCCTGGTTAAATTGCTGCCTAGCCAGGCTTGCACAATACCTGTCTTGTCTGAAGTTCCCCCTTAATTCAGTTGGTGAAGAAATTTCTCACTTCTCCTCCCAATCTGCTATGTAGTGCAGATTCTGGCATGGAATAGTTGCTGTGTCACACAGTCTGAACTTTACTGGTGACTAAAAAAGGTCCTAATTTGTTCATAAAAGGCATGATATCCTTCTCCTCAGAAACCAAATGAACCCAATTAACCCAAATGACCTATTCTCATTTGTAACTGGCATTCAGCTGATGATGAGGCTGGATTCAGAACAATGTCAACTTTTTATTCTAAATAAATAAAAATAAACCGAGGAAAGTTAAATTAGTAAACAGCAAATGGTACATCGAAATGAATTAAATGTGTCTTTTACACACCCGTCCACTAGGGGGCAGAATCGTACTAGCCACCTATAGAGCCTGACGGGCTTCCGTGGTTTCACACGTGTGTTTTGTTGAACTTTGAACTAGAAGCCGGAAGCTGAGGCCTGTAGTGTTGTGCCGAGCGAATTTGTATGAGAATGTTTGGGATAGCCTGATCGTGCAAGTGATGATGGATTTTTTTTTATGTGTGATTAGTTCTAGTAAATGCCTTTTTAGCGCTGAAAAACGTAAACAGTAGAAGAAAAGCTGTCATTGATATTAACGCGTTGCACTCGTTAGCCGAGATTTAAGAAGGCAGACAGTCCTAGCGACATAGGAGGCGAACCCTGCTTGAAAGGAGACGCCATTCTGCAGGGCAATTCCGGTATTAATGTTTAAAACTCTTGTTGGACGCTATTATGTTATGAAGATGGATTGTCTGAGTTTCGTGACAGGACGATAAGAAGCAGGGTAGACGTACTGTCAGCGCCGTACATTCTCTGAGTGACAGTGGCTGCTGTCAAAGCGCAGATTGACTCGTTAGACTGCTGATATTCATATTCAGCTTTTTAAAGGGGGAAAGGATGGCCACTGATTTGCAAGCCAAATATACAAAGCTGGCTCAGGAGTACTCAAAGGTGAGCATACGTTTAGTATATACTTTAACATTTAGTTTACGAGCTAATTTACCGGTGTGGAGAGTATAGGATCAGTCGGGTGACTTGATATCTCTCTGTATAGAGCTAACATTCATTACCACTTCATGTTAACTGATGATGTTTTATTTACTTCAACGTTTTAACGGTGCCGTGAAATCATTTTGGTTAAGCGCTGTAATGAAAGCACCGAGCATGAATGGAAACTTCCTTATTTACTGGCTCACTCTTCAGACTGCATTAATGAAGTTATGCATAGAAGTGCAGGATATACATCACTTTCGCAGAGTAAATAAGAACCAAGTGATGGAAGATTTAAGAATTGTGGCTGTTTTTAAGAGCTTTCTTTACTTGGTGGATATGCGCGCTTTGATAAATGTTTCCCCAACCCAATTAGGTAGGTCTTATTTAAATAACATTTTAGTTCGCGTCTTGGTTATATCTGTTTACATACATGTCTTAATAGTATTGTAAATATAACAATTGGAATCTAAATTCGGGCGATAGTCAGGATTAGGCTTTTTTTAGGCAGTTAATCAGTAGTAGAGGTGCGTGAAATGTGCAAGTCCAGCCCTAACTAAAGTGATATTGATTTTTTTCTGTTCAGATGAAGTTTATTGCCTGGCCCTAGTGCTCAGGCAGTAGCATTGTGTTATATGTATGTAGTATGCCTGGAGACTCAGGACATGCAGGTCAGGGTGATGGAATGCCTGCAGTCACACATGTGTACAGTTTCTGAGCTCAGTGGGTTACAGAGTGCTAGGACTCTTTAGGACAGGGCAGAGCAGCACAGAAAAGCTGCAGTTCATCCATTTAATCAGAACGTTTTAAAATTTAAGTAGACAGTCTACATTCCTTCACTTGTCCACCAGAAGACTGTTTTACAGTCTTATATGCATAGCGTGACTGGTGAGGTTGTCACTCAGGAGGCCTACTGTTGCTGTTTTAGAAAAGCAACACCAGAGTCTAGTCAAGCCCATGTTTGAACCTTAGTAAACCATTAGGTCTAAACATACATTAGAGTCTCTTGTAATTTATCTCATTTAGTGAATCCGATCACGAAAGTTTTACGGATCTGTTGTTCATTTTATGAAATACAGTGCTGCTTTTCTGCTACAGTAATTTTACCTTTGCCTTGTTACTTGTTAAAAAGTTAACAAGTAACGGCTTAGTTAATGAGCTAATGCAAATGAGGCCTCGATAGTGTTTCTTGAACAGCTAGAGGAATGTGCATCATCTGCAAAAGACAATGAAGTTTACGGTGTTAGGCAGTTTAGCAGACTTACACTTTTAAATGGTTAAGAAATAAATTGTAGGAAAACAATTGAAATGTCTAAATCTGCCCATATACACTGAGCCATTTGTTTGAGTGCAGCCTTATGTAGTGTCGCAAGTAAAAGTCTATTCAATGAAAAGAAACAACATTTTGGCTGTGGAGCCTTCTTCGGGTGGGTTTCTTTTCTTCTCTTTTCAGTATGGAATAAACCTTTACTTGTTTCTTTGCAGCCTACACATGCTGACATAGCTATCTGCTTGAACTACTCATGTCATGCCTGTGTGTATGTGTGCCTGGGATTCACTGTAGTTTTGTTTCCTCCAGCTCCGTGCACAGAACCAGGTGTTGAAGAAGGCAGTGGTGGATGAGCAGGCCAACTCGAGCTCTTTCAAGGTAGGCGATAACATCACCACTCTTGGCCTGCCACCCTTGTTACAGAAGGGTCCATGGCTTTACAATGGCAGCCAATGGCAGCCTCTGCAGGAGTACTCGGTATTGCTCTGGGGTGCATTACTGCTCTTTTGTAGCTTAACTCTGTTTTTTGTTTCTCTCCCGGATGACGGATCACAGATCTGAGGACTTCAGTTTTTCTTTCATGCTGTCCATGTTAACTGGTGCCTCTCAAATCCCCCTTGTGCATGTGTGCGTATCCTGCGATTGACTGAAATCCTGTCCAGAGTTCAACCCTGCCATGTGTACTGTGCCTCTTGGGTTAGGCTGCATCACATTGTGGATAGTGAGGAGACAGTATTGTTTCCCTTGTGTGTCACTCGCAGGAGCAGCTGAAGCAGAGAGAGCAGAGCCTACGCAAGGTGGAGCAGGAGATGGACAGCCTGTCCTTCAGAAACCAGCAGCTGGCCAAGCGCGTGGAGCTGCTGCAGGAAGAGCTGGCGAACAGCGAGGCGCGGGGCAAGAAGAGTAAGGTAGAGCTGCATCCCCCTGGGGGAAGGGTTTGAGGGCAGTGTGGCCGCCCAGTGTACACACCGCAGTCCTGGGCAGAGTACTGGGAGAGTACAGTGCAGCTTACATTAGGTGCTCTAGGCTGAATAATGTTCAAATTAATCTAGGCCCGGGAGGAAGCATATGATAAAACATATGTTTGTATAGATGTGTGTAAAAAGAAGTACAACCATTCAAGATGTGAAGGCTGTTCTGTACCGAGTCATTCTCATAAGATATTCATACGTCAAATGAGTGATATTTTCCTTCTTTTCTCACATGTAAAATTGCTTATTTTTTTCTTTTAAAAAATCCACCCAATTTGGAGGTAAGACTTGAGACTCAGCTGTCCTGCAGTGAATCCTATGCCTGAAACTTGACTGAGTTTCTGACATACCTCTAACGTGCCCTTCTGCTGTGCTGTTTCTCCATTGATATAGTTTTGTAATCCCAGTTTTACTCTCGTGATACTCTGTTGTGTGCTGCTGTTTGCATTAGATAGATGCATATCTCAGATGTCATACATACTCTCAAACTGGTGACATCTGATCGACGAAGGTCTTTTTCTAAGCATGCCAATCAAGCCCATTGCCTTTCTGAGGCACTCCGGTGCCCGAGCAGGTGGTTTTCACAGGTCTTTAGTTCTTAGTGCTACAAAAGAGCACAACTGACCAGCTCAAGGAGCAACAGGATTAGCTTGCAGTTACATGTGGGCTAGTATAATAACTGTCTTCTGAATTTTGACTTTACTTCACTGATTTACTTGAACCAGGCAGATTTAGTTTTTCAGGTGTATTGGTAACTGCAAACAAAAGGAATTATTCTTTTAAGCTGAAGTTAAATTTTCCTTTTTCTTACTGCTGTAATTAAGGCAGAGCTGTTCTCTAGTTTTCTTTTAAAGTTTTAGTAGTAGTTTTCTAAATTGACTAGAGTACTTCACTGCAGGATTCTGGGCTTTGTTAACCAAGAATATAGTCACAGTATGATATTAGCAGTATGGAATTTGATCAATTTTGTCAGAGAATCACTATAGTTAGCTCTCACAGCCTCTCAGGCTTGTAGTACTAATAATAAGGATTTCTTCTGCGATGGTTTTCCACAGCTTTGGGGCATAGCAAAAAAAGAAAAGCCTTACTACCCATAGAGTGTACACTTGTTCTTATCTCTTAAGTAGAAACCTTACAAACTTGTACAACCCTTAGAGTTTGTGTAATGTGAACATTATTATCTGTATCGTGGCATGTTTTAAAATAAATATTTATGTAGATTTGCAAGAGATGTAGCTGTCTCTTTATAAACCGGAAAGTCTGCAGAATACAGTCCTTTGCCTGAGTTAAGAATTATTTCCCACAGAATGTTTTTCTGTAGATGCCCGTTCAATAGAGAAAGCATATGGATTGTCCTAAATTACATTATATTGCTTTATATTTTATGACCAAATAAAAGTGGAATTTGGGGGATTGCGGTTGTAGTCTGAGTGAGTGCAGAATGGAGCAGTCCTGCTGGGCTGCACCAGGCTGTTTCTATGCAGCTGCAGTCATTAATGTATTAATGTAGAGCTGTTATGGCCTCAGAGAAAGGAGATTCCAAATGTAAATGAACTGTGAGCAGACTCTTACACTTCCCTTACCAATCACTACACCCGTGCACGAGTAGGTGTAATTCTACTTATTTATTACATTACATGAAATAGTGCTATTTGCTGTGATTTTGTTTAATTAAGTAGAAAGTTTTTATAGTAATGCTTTATTCGAATTTTTGTATTTGATATCTTTTGTTACTGTCTGTGATATTAAAGATGAAAATATCAACATTTATAATGGATACATTGATTATAAGTAAGAGCGCTTCTGGGATAACGCACCGATTTTCTTATTGTTTTCGGCGTCCTGGGGAACACGTTCCAGCAGCTGGAGCTTTCCTGACCCCCGGTGGCTCATTGTCCGTCTGGTTGCTAGTTTGGTGTGTTGGGGCCTGGGTGTGAAATCGCTCTTTCTGTCCGTCTGCTCCCTGCCAGCAGAAGACTGGGGACTCTCCCTCCCAGCATGCCCTGCAGCACCCCAGCGTGTTCGACGAGGACCTGCAGAAGAAGATCGAAGAGAACGAGCGGCTGCACATCCAGGTGAGCGCCACGCCCGCTGGGGGGGAGCTGCCGGCAGGACCTGAGTGAGCCGCGGCCTCTCTGTGTTGCAGTTCTTTGAGGCGGACGAGCAGCACCGGCACAGGGAAGCCCAGCTGAGGGAGCAGCTGGAGGTCCTGGAGCGGGATGCGGCGCAGCACCAGGCGGTTGTGGACGGACTGACGCAGAAGTACATGGAGACTATCGAGAAGCTGCAGAACGACAAGGCCAAGCTGGAAGTTAGTCCTGCGGACACACACAAAAAAACACCTGCTGTTTTCTCAACTTTCCCAAGAGACTAGGGCTAGGTCTGGGAATTCAGCTGGCCTGCCTGAACCATTAGGAGTCGACTGAAGGCAGTAAATATGGATCTAGGATCCACTTTCCTATTAATACATGAATCAATGAGTCGCAGTAAAGCAGTAATTACACCACTGACACACCCTTTGTCTGTCACCCTTCCATCTGTGCGTTACCACTCAGATGGGATCCTGGATTAAATGTATGTTCTGGATTAAGGTATTAGGAGGTGCATTCTGAGCACCTCAGCATTATGTAACTTTTCTTCTGTCTTGGGAACATTTTTCAACTAATAGTGACTGAAAAGGATTAGATGATTCTTCTTATTTTTTTAAAAATTATTACAGGTAAAATCCCAGACCTTGGAAAGAGAGGCAAAGGAATGCAGACTCCGAACTGAAGAATGGTAAACAAAACGCATTTTTCTTTTCTTTTTTTTTTCCCAGAACAGAAGACAAGACAATCACAGGATGGGAAAGTTATAATCTGTTACAATATAATGTGGAATTGTGTACTGCAGTGGAGCAATAGTGCTGGAAATCCTGTGGAACAGTTTTTTTTAGTAGTTTCATTAAACATCTAGCAGTTGCATGGAGCAGGTGTTGGTAGAGTTGCTAAAGTGCTGCAGGTGTCTCAGCTTTGTAGTGAGATCAGAACATGTCAGGACCTCTTGAGTGTTACTAGACCTGATGAGAGATTTATTGCAGCCTAGTTTAATAGCAAAAAAAAAAAAGATCAATGTATTTGAATAAAGTTTGGGTTTCAACAGATTTAGAAGGAGACTGAAAGCTCTTGATCTTAAAATAGAACAGCTTATTCCTCCCGTGCAGGGAGTTTGGAAAGTCAGTATTTTAGGCTATTTTACTACAGTGGAAAGACTCCTGTCATTGAAATACTACTGAAATGTGAATTGTTCCTAAAGTGAGTTTACATGTTGATACAAAGGGTCTGCCTACACTGTGCTGTCTCTGCCAACAGCCAGCAGCAGCTGAGGAAGTTCCAGACTGAGCTGAGCAGTCAGCTGGAGCACACCACCAACATCATTAAGGAAAAAGTGCCCTTCAATGACACTAGTGAGTAACATTTGCACACAGCTACACTGCTCAGCTTTTTGTTTTCTAATGTAGCAAATTTTGTTTTTCATAAAGAGAGAGTAGAAGATAAGAGTAAAAATATATCTCTGACATTATTAGAGTGGAAGACATGTTTTTGTAATTCTGTTTTTGTTTAATGAAAAGGTAATGCCTTCTGGTATCAGACACATACACAGTGTCATACTGTAGCTGTATTGGGTGGGTTGATACAGTAACTTTGCCTTCCATTAGCGAAAGGGGCTGTGGGTTACTGCATAGGAACCAAAATTATATTGGTAGACCTTGTTGAGCAACGTGTCTATAAATAAGAAGCCAGCTTTCCGGATGTAATAAAAGTGAATTGACATAAGATGCTGATGTCCTTATTTCTGCATCACTTATCCGAACACTTAATGTACATTGTTCTTTTAGAATTCAGAATTTGATCAGTGCTTTGTCTGTTTTCCAAAACAGAGATTTGATTTCCAAACTCTTCAACATTTTGTGTTGATTTCAACTACATACGCAACTACATACACATACAGCATTTATATCTAAGTACGGCCCTTCAATCATCTCTTGCAGTTTGAATTAGTAATAATTAAGTTGAAAATAAAATGCATCTTACAGATGTATTTGTAGGGCAGGATTCTCTTTTGGTTGGGTGATTCTTTTTAAACAGTCATTGACAAGGTTATTGAAAATATTTTTTTAAATATTCCTGATTTTGGAATGACGTTATTTTTCCTTTTGTCTTTGCCCAAGGGCATGCCCACTATAACACATTGAACGTTCCCCCTCACAATCGAAGACATCAGGTAAGCAGCCTGCTTTCATTTCCTGCTTGGTAATGGTTGTAGTTTTTTCATAATGACTTCAGTGTTCTCCCCACACTTAATTTATATTTATGTGTGCGACCATAAAATGTGTTCTGGGAAAACTTCTGATGTAGCAGTAGTACTTTGTACTAAAAAGTGCTAAATGCCACCTTTTTATTTCTTGGAGTGAATAAGGAATTGCTAGTTACTCTAAATTAAAAGCAAATTGAGTTCCAGCTACGGTTTAGTTTTATTTCTCTTTTCTCTGTGGTTGGGTTTATTTGATTAGTCAGATGGTTTCACAATTTAGAGAATTGCCATGTGTCGGAAGGCAGCTGTTATCGTGAGGTCAAGAAAATCCGCTCTGTGAAGTGTATGCATGAAGGTGTGGCTTAACTATGTGTCAAAGCAGAGAAAAGACTGTAGTGTATTGGAGGGTTGGGGGAGTTGCTACTGTAAATGACTAAGGACAACACATTTCTCTAGACATGAAAAAGTAAGTTGTATAAATTGTTAAAGTAACCATGCACTTAATTCAAAGTAAAATAAGCTGCATCATTAAAACTGTGGAAACACAATGCAGTTGTGCTTAAATGTAATGTTTCAAAGTAGTTGTGTAATGAGAGCTCACCGTAGCATGGACTTTAGTTCCAATTTGAAAGAAAAGGAATATACATTAAACGTTAAATATTTACATTGTACGTATGCTCTGAGTACCAAAAACAAGCAGTTTTTGAAACGTTGTAATTAACTTTAGTTTAATAAATTTAAATGCCAGAAACATAATGCAATAATGCTCAGTTTACTATCCCGAACAAGATGTTTAATATTATAAGAACATGCTGTTGCATGAACTACAATACGAATTCAGAAGTCATACACATTCTTAAATGTAACACAAAGAGTATTTTTGTCATGCTCAGAATCTCATTTTCTTTTTTTAACTGAGGGATGGGTTGTGAACTCTCTAAAATAATAGCAATTTAATAAATGGTGTTTTACATCACCACTGCATGTTCACCGTGTGTGTTAATATAAGTACATGTACTATATATTTAGTAATGCACTGTTTGTTCCTTGCCATTGATTGAATCCTATCTCCCAAGCTTATTGGAGCTCTTGAACCACACTGTGCTTCTTCAGACAGCAGTGGATTCTCCATTGCAAGAAAGCTGATCTTCCTTTATTCTAGGCAGTCTAATTGTACTTTAAATGTATTTGTGTGTGTATGTCACTTTATGTCCTTGAGATGGCTTTTATAGACAAAGAGGGATTTGAATTGCACAGATTTCTTTCCCAATTCAATTTGTAAATTAAAACAATTTTATTCTTTTCATTTTTGTCCTTAAACCCACTAACACAGCGCTGGTGGAATATTATGTTTTAACAATACCTAGTAGGTGTTTCCACAGGGATTTTATTATGAACACGCCTGATTCTTGACTGAGCAAGAGCTCATTTGCATCTTTGATGTCAGTCAAAATACATATCTGAAGGCTGCGCTGATGATACTTATTTGGCACATTGGCAGTGTGACATAATAACAGGTGTTTTAAAACAGTTATTATAGATGGAACCCGTAAGTTCTAAACAGCAATGTAGGCTACCATATTTTTTTTTATTTTCAGGGTAGTTGCTGTATCATTTAAATACAGAAAAAAACATGGGCCATCAAAGTCCCCCAGTACATTGGTGTGACTTGTAACAGTGTCTGATAAGGGGCATGGTTTTTGTTACGGCTATTTTGTGATGGCTTAGCATGTGTTAAAGATTGGATTTAAATCAGCTTCAGTGTCGTGGTTAAAGCCAGTGCTATCTGCAGTAGCTGTGTCTAGTGCAGGTATCAGCCAGAAGAGCCCTGTGCTGACTGCCTTTGCCCTCTCCTCTCTCCAGCTGAAGGCTCAGGATGTGGCTGGCCAGGCACTGGGATTTGTCCAGGACCTTGTGGCTGCGTTGCTCAATTTCCACACTTACACTGAGCAGAGGGTCCACATCTACCCCCGGGACTCAGCTATTGAGCCCATTTCACCACTCAACCAGAAGGCAAGTGGGTCCGGGGCTGAACAGGGAGAATCCCTGCTGAGCGTGGTTTTGGGATACCGAGTACAACTGAAATGTTTCCATGCATGTAGATGTATGTAGTTAAATCACTTGGAAATAGTGAAAAATACATGTACAAGTTACACAAGGTGTTCCTTTGAAGCATTGTCTTCTGTAGTCTGAAATATCTTGATGAATGTTGTATCTGAAACACTTTTTTTTGCCTTACCTTTCTGAAGTGCCTTTTTTTTTTGCCTTTTTTGAAGTTCTGAATCCGTAAAGATATGCATTGACCATGTATAAAATTCTGGTCCTCGGCCAAAATAAAAACTTGCATGTTTTCTCTGCTTTGTTAAAATTTCTGCTTTCAATGGAGCTCCTGACAAAGCTGCCTGTGGTTTCTTTGGCAGTTCTCTCAGTACCTGCATGAGAATGCAGGTTATGTGCGCCCCCTAGAGGACGGACTGCAGCAACTGTTGGAAAGCATCACAGAGGAGACCATCACCACGCTGGTATGTAACACTTCCCTGCTCTGTCACAGCCCTGTGTTCTCTCATGCTACATGTGGTTTATTGGAATGAATAACTGACAATGCAGTCTTATTTATTTTTAGGAAACAACTGTGAAACTTAAAGACTTTTCTGACCATTTCACCTCCTATACCCGATTTCTGCAGAAGATACTTCCATACCAGTTGAAAAGGTCTTTATGATTGCTTTTCTAAAAAGAAAGATTTCCGTGCTTAGAGTCTTCTATCACATTAGTTGTTTGTACTGTATTTTTTTTATTGCTCATTTCCGTTGTCTTTTAATAGGTCTTTATAAAAGACAGCTATGTAACTTATTGCTGTTCACATTTATTAAACGGCTCACCAGTAGGATGAGAGTAGTTTATCATTGAAAAGCAAGGACAGTGGACAGTGGACACTGCACATTTAGAAAGTAATTTTCTGTGTCTAGGCATTGTTTAGTTTCCCCTCATTTTACTGGACTATCAGAAAATGTAAAATGTTATTCAACTTTTTTCTACAAAGTTGTTTGATCACCTGTCTTCATACAGTTGTTGTTTGAGAATAATGTTATCAGAGCTAAATGCAATAAATCTTTAAAGATTGTTCATTGTTAGGAGGCTTCCTCAGCTGTGTGTGAGTTCCTGAACATGATGTTTTTTTTTTGTGTCTGTACAGTCTGGAGGAGGAGTGTGAATCTCCTCTTTGCACCTCCTCTCTAACATCGAAGAACAAGGAGCTGCAGGACGACATGAGAAAGATGACATCAGTCTTTGAAAAGCTGCAGAATTATATTAGTCTTCTGTCTTTACCAAGTGAGTGGCCAGCACTGTTGTTTCAAATAAGGAGAGCGGACTCTTCCACAGTGTCTGTTCTTTGGCAACATTTGTCTGTTACCATATCTTATCACTAGGGGACACTTCCTGCTCTGACACAGCTTAATGCAAGCATGGACAAGGTCACTAAAGGTGAATGACGTTGAAAGTAGTCCTCACATCCTTAGCAACAAGGGTTTTTAAATTACTAGAAGTTTCAGCATTGTTTTTACTAATGGAATGTGAAATTAGAGTGAATTGGGGTGGAGCGGTGGCTCTGTGGCTCAGGATCTTCGCCTGTGGCAGGAAGGTTGCTTGTTCGTATCTCTCCGCTGGCAGAGGAATCCTACTCCGTTGGGCCCCAGAGCAAGACCTTAACACCAACTGCTCCAGGGGCGCTGTACAATGGCTCACCCTGCGCTTTGACCCCAAGCGTCTCTCCCTGTCTGTGTGTCTCTTGGAGAGCAAGCTGGGGTATGCGAAAAGGCAAATTCCTAATTCAAGAAATTGTATATGGCTAATAAAGTGATCTTATCTTATCTCTCTCTTATCTTATAATTAATAGGGATCTTGCATATTATGTTCTGTTATGTTCTGCTTGCTAGTTGTCTGAGTGTTTGTGTAGACCAGAGTGTGGCCATATTACAACATGTACAGTGTGTTCACAGGTACAAAACCAGAGGCTCTCCCTCCAAGTAGCTTCAGTGCTGTGTTTACTCAGTTAGCTGCATGTCTCCATGGCCTGCAGGATGCAATGAAAGGTAAGTGTGCCCTCTCACATGGCAAAGGCAGAGATGCAAAGATGCACATTTCACTTTTTTTTTCACCCCATAGTCTGGATGTCTTCTCTAAATCATTCGTATGCTTTGTGGTAACAAAAATTGATAGTTCCCAAAAGAACAATGCAGAAGGACAAGCCTGCAGTTTCATTTCTTATTTTATTCTTGACATTAGAATGCTGAGGAGGTCATGACAATTAGTACAGTATGTTTAATTCAAAATGTATTTAAAAAAAACCACAAGCAACAAATAAATCACTCATTAGACTATAGTTCTGCCTGGCTGCAATGATCTACAGATGTGAAAAGTGTTTTTTTTACTTGCTGCAATAGGTATCTTGTTTAGCAGGGTGTTAATATGACAGTTTTGTTTTCTGTTGACTGGAAGCTGTCAGGGCACTTGGTCCATACCTTCTTTTTTTTGCCAGTAAGATTCCCTTCATCTTTTAACTTTATTTATTAAACCTAGTTACTTCAGATACTTGACATCTTGCGGTGTAGAGAAGTGTTTGCCAAGCTTGCCTTTTTAAGGGATCGAGTGGTATTCTTGGTAAACAAGCCAACAGCTTTGCTTAGGCCTGTGCTCCTGAGTAGCAAAGTTATAGCACAGTAGGATACATAATGAAGGCTGATAAGGATTATAACCATGCAGAATAACATTCCCTTATTAGGTTCTACTGAAATGCTTGGGAAGTGTTCTAAACTTATTTGTTTGAAGTGGCATCAAATACTGCCACTGCAGAACACGATTAATTATGTTTAGACGGAGATTAAAAAAGCAGAGGAGCCAAGACATACAGTTTAGAGTCTAATTTCCATATAAAATAAAATAAAAATACATTTTTAATAACATGCTTTTAAAGTATCCTTAGATGAACCTTGTGTGACAAGCAATTGATAAGGGGACCACAACTTCTTTTTTTTATTGAGGTGCTTGAGAGAGCACTGTGTGTGAGTTTCGTAGCTCTCTGTAACTCCTCAACTCCTCTCTCTCAGATGTTTCCAAGCACTACAGTCAGAAAGCCACTTTGGAACAGGATCTCCCAACTGTAACACAAAAACTCAGGACAACAAACGAATGCATCCTGTCCTCCCTCGGTTCCCTCACCAACAGCACAGGAAAGGTAACTGGAATAGGCTGTGCACAGTCCTGTGCAAGGAAGGTCTAAAGTCCAGGAATGTGTCAAAAACCAGTGACTTCAACAATGTACTGCCAACCCAATAGCTGAGCTATATTAACTGGAGTACTGTACTATGAACCAGTATCCTGCATCCAGTGTAGCTATCTCTCGATGTGCATGGGGATTATTAGGAGGCCATGATTGGTATAGGCCAGGGGGAAATTTGTCCAGGATGCCGGGGTAACACCACTACTTTTTTCATGAAACACCCAGGAATTTTTAATGACCACTGATAGTCAGGTCCTCGGTTTTATGTCTCATCTGAAGGATGGCACTCCCTACTGGCCCCACTAACACCTCTTCCAGCAGCAACCTTAGCTTTCCCAGGAGGTCTCCCATCCAGACAATGACCAGGCTCACACCTGCTGAGCTTCAGTGGGCTGCCAGTTGTGAGTTACAGGGTGATATACAGTAGCTGCAGGCCAGTTAATTCTATGTTTGTATATTTGAGCTGTACAAGTCAGTTCCCAATCACCTGCTCAGTGTATGAAATTAAGCATGCAAACGAGCACATTGTTATATTGAAGTACTGAACCTGCCGTTTTCCTTTTTGATTAATCATGATTTTGCGATAGAACTGTGCAAAAATGTAGTGTGTTAAAAAAGATAAACAATTTGAGTCTGAAAAGGAAGAGATTTTGAACTTCTCACTGTGCAGAAATATGGGCTGAGCGGTATAGTAGCTCTAGATAGAATTAATCTAGCTGAATTACTGTTTTCTTTCTCTATTTGCAACCAGATTGTGGCAGAAACAAAATGTGCTGTTTTTCTTTTGGTTTATTTAGATTGCCACATTTTTTAGCAACAACCTGGATTTCTTCACGGCCTCGGCAGGGTACGGGCCGAGGGGCGGCCTCGGGCTGCTGAACCCTCTCCAGGCAGAGTGCATGCTGCAGAACAAGAGGAGAGCTGCAGCCTACATCCTCAGGCTCAGGAAGGTCAGTCAGCCTGTCCGCCTGCATCCAAGCTGGGCTTCTGTTTAAAACAGTTAGAGCTCATTAGTTGGACTGGGGGTGTGTTAAGGCGAGATAAGACCTTCTTTACTAACCTACTTAGTGTTTCTGGCTTACAGCAAAGTGTTGGTATTAAATCGACTGAGGAAGTGTGACAAGTCTAAGTGCTGTGTCCCTAAGTGAATCTCATCTTTAGGTACACATTATCAGCAATAATTGAAGTACATAAGAATGTAAAAAGATATCCTGTCTTCTGCTGAATAACAGTTTATCCTTGACTCATTACCCCCCCCCTGTTGTTGTGTTTGTTCTGGGGCGCCAGCCAAGGCCAGAGTCTGTACCCTACTTGGAGGCACTGTCCAACCGCAGAGTGCTAACCAGCTCCACGGAGAGTCGGGAAGGCCTCACACAGCAGGTACCCCTTCTTGCTTCCCTTCATTGCTTCCTGCTCCTGCCAAGACATTTTCGGGGTACACCCAACCTACAGTAACTCCAGTGCTTGCTTCTCGTTTTCAAGTTGTGCAGTTGAGTCCCGACACACACCCAGCGTCCTGGATTTTACTTTCTCTCACTGATACTAAAAAGCTCCTGGCTAACCCTGAAAGAAAGAAAATGTATTTCTATCTCTTTTATTTCTCCTTCTGATATGAGCTTTGCATTAGATGTTTGTCTTTATACTACCAAATGTATTTGTAGGAGATTTGCTTTATGGTTGCTCTTGCCTCCTATGAAATCTGCCTGCAAGCTTCCATATTATGTACTATAACAAGAAAACTGAAACGTGCTGCTGGAGAATTCATCCCTCGTGTTGTAAGGCTACAGCTCCTAGGTGTTTGCTGACTGGTGGGGTGCTCCTGTCAGGTCCAGCAGAGCCAGGAGAAGATCGCTCGGCTGGAGCAGGAGAAGGAGCACTGGCTTCTGGAGGCCCAGCTCAGCCGCATCAAACTGGAGAAGGAGACCCAGCGCATTGCTGACCTGGAGAGGCAGCTGAGCATGGCCCTAGCTGGACAGCCGCCCTCAGCTGCCCAGTCCAGCCCTGCTGCTCCCAGGCCTGGCCAGGAGGGGGCGGAGTCCGTGGAGTGTGACCCAAAGGAGCCTGTACCCACCACTAGCCTGGTTAGAGACGAATGCTGCCCTGCCTTCTGTCATCCTCAGCTTTTTATTGCTTTAATTTGGCGAGTCCTGACAACTTAACATGAGCAACCCCACACATAATGGGAATGTACAGATTTCTAAGAAAATGTTAGATCTTGACAGATGTACAAAGTTGAGCTAAACGATATTGATCTGTTTACTAGTAGAAAAGAGAAAGTTTTATGGTGTCGTAGGACATGTTCTCTAATCTAATCCAGAGTTCTGTAATAGGAAGATGAATAAAATAGCTTTAACTTTTCAGTAGCTCACTATCTTGTACGAAACTGCTGACTGACTAGAACCCCAATTCTATCGTGAAACAGTGAAAGCTAAGTAAGGGGAAAATGTGTAGTAATTTATTTTCTTACTTACAAACCATAAAGGAATGCTATAGTTTGTCAACTGGGGCTAGTAGTTCTTAAATTATAAAGTGAAGCAAGCAAATGCTAGTCTATAATTGATTGCTTGTTTTGTCATTTTTAATCTTGGAGCCATAACATAAAGTTTGTTTTTGTATTAAATCTTTACACCCTTTCTCCCCCTTATTTTTAGGTGGGCATGTTGACTACAACACAGATTAGTGAAGAAGTAAGTCAGTTTGTTAATAATTACTGCAACTAGACTTTTCTTCTTGTTGTTTTCCACTAGTCTAATGCTTATGTTAAAGGAGAAGCACCCAAAGTAAGCTCAGTAACAGGTAATAAATATTGTAATAAAACCAAATGATTTGGGGATTTGATAACCTGTAAAATGGTAAAAAGCATGCTTTCATTATTCTGTCAGTGTGATTTAGATTTCATAAATGTTTTCTCTCTTATCTGTGGATGCATGCTTTTACTATGTTCACCTTGAAACAATAAAAACTTAGATTTTTTCAAATGTCTGTTTTCATCTAGGATTTTGCATCTACTATCATTACAGTTATTGTAGGTAGTTTTGTCTTTAGGAGAATACTAACTTATAGTTATTAATATCAAAATATTTTCTTAATCATCTGTTTAACTCTTGACAGGCACATTAAATCCTTTCTTAACCCACCCTGCTGGCAATGAATCTGACTTCTAATGTGATTGAGCTGACATAAGTCAAACAGCAGTGTGCTCTTCCTAATCACATGCCCGAAGGGATAAGCAGTGGGTTATGCAACAGATGTGTGTCAGCTTGCTTAGGTCATTCTTTATTCACTTGATTTTTTTTTACATGGCTTATTCATGCCCTTTCTAACTCCTCATTAATAATGTTTTATTCACACCTGTTATCTAGTGTAATGACCCACAATGGTCAGTGTCAGGTGCATGTAAACATGAGGTGTTTTATGGTAGAGAATCATTGTGCATGTGAAGGTACATACAGTAGCATCAGGCAGCCAGGCTGGAACCTTGTGTTCTTGTTTCCGAGCAGTTTGAACTTATCCTGTGTGATTCGGTGTCACATTGGGAACAAATCTATTTTAAATTGTTTAACAAGGCAAGTGCACTCAAACCCAGCTGTGATCATGTGCACTATCCAGTCACCCTGGGAGCTGTTTGGAAGGCTATACAATGTATGTGACTGACAAACACACCTCTGTACTTTGTATGCAGGCAGGTGACGAGCAATCCCGGGAGCAGCTCATCAAGAGTCACTACATGAGCCGCGTGGCTGATCTCACTGCGCAGCTGCAAGTGGCTGATAGCAAGGCTGTCCATTTCCATGCTGAGGTCAGTACTTAAGATCTTCACCCCCCTGTTCAGACTCAGATTCTTTCCTTAAGCCCCTCTCCAAGAGAAGAATGGAAAGTGGGGAAACCTGAGGATGTGCTGATGGGAAGAACATTGGGGATTGTGCATCCAGATGTGTCATTGTGTTGTCAGTTCTCTTTAAAAGATCAGTTTTAATTGTCTCCAGAGTTTCACTGTAAGTTAGTAAGCAGGGGAAGGTTCAGTTTAGCATCTGCAGTATTCTGGGAAGGTCACTGTTCAGGCATCAGTACGTAAGGATTTATATATATATATATTCATACCCGGAGAGTCTGTTGGCTTTGTTGCTGGGAAACACATGGTCTGTTTGTATGCATTGCATCACTGGAGTCATTGTTTGACTGTTTCTTACTCACTGTGTCGGAAATAGAAGTGATGCCAGATGGAAGTAAGGAAGGGATCACTAACTTTAGGCACTTCCCATGTGGAGAACAAATTCCTCAACACTATCTGAACTTTGCTTTGCCAACATTATGGATTTTTGTTGGAATATGGAGAATGTCTTGGAAGGAATTGAGGTTTGTACATCTCTCCTGTTTTTCCTTCACAGTGCCGAGCACTGGCTAAGCGACTGGCACTGGCTGAGAAATCTAGAGAAACGATGACAGAGGAGGTGAAAATGGCCAATCAGAATATCAGTCGTTTACAGGTATGGTGATAAAAATTGGCAAACATGAATCACAGAACATTACTGTAACAGTTATTTTTTATTTACATCATCTTTTGTGGTTCTGCATTTACACTGACAATGTTCCAAATGGCAAGAAGAGAATCTAGGTCTTATTTGCACTTTGAACAAATTGTAAACGCTCTATGAGTTAACTAAGGCCCTGTGGACAATGTGGAGTTGTGAGCTTTGTTGCACTGACCCAGTGTGACTAAACAGTGTGACAGACTGAATTTATAACCCGTGAAATAACAGCCACAGCAGGAATCCTTTTGAAACGAAAGATGATATTGTTGAATCAATGGTACTTTAAACCTGATACATTTAACCCAGCAAAAACAGTGACAAGCATAGGAAAGTTTTTAAAAAACATGAAACTTGATTTAACACCTTGGGAAAAAGCCTTATAAAAAATCTTCAAAAGGGGGAATTCTTCATTGCTTGTTGTGTGGGGTCCTCTGGGGCATGCCCTGTCCAACAAATGGGAAATATCTGGTCCTGCACTTCTATAACCTCTTGTGGCATTTATTTTTGTTAAAAGTCGGGTTTTAAAAAAAAGGTTCGCAGCTTAGAAGAGAAGATTTTGTGTTTGTTTTTCCAAAACTCCATAAAGTGGTATCTCGTCTTTTTGTTCTGTTAAAAAGGAGCTTGACAGGCATGCTGGGAAAGATGCCAGGAATGTCTCTTAGTGGGGAGATTAGAAGGTCAGAAATGCTGGCTTCATTCGGTTTCCGCATACCAATGTAACAGTAGACTTTCCTACTGTGTTTGAGCTCTGGAATACTTGTCCACATTACAAAGGGAAATTTTCTAAAATTTGCAAACCTGCTTCTTGATCTTTTCATACTCAAGCTGCCCTGCTCTGTTATAGCCCTCATGTATGCTCAGTTTTGTAAAAAAAAATAATGTAATGCTAGTATTATGAGAAAACAAATGTCAGTTAATTAAAAGAAGACCAGATGAGTTTGTTATGCTTCTGAATTAGCTAATGTGACATCAGATGTGTTATACTACAATATAATGAAAACAGAGTACAGCCTGTATTTCTCCGAATCATGGCATCTTTATACTGTTGCAAGTAGTGACAGCAGTAAAAAGTTGGCACTCAGTTTGTGAACACTCTTGCAGGATGAGCTGACTACCACCAAGAGGAGCTATGAAGATCAGCTGAGCATGATGAGTGATCACTTGTGCAGCATGAATGAGACCCTGAGCAAACAGAGGGAGGAGATCGACACTCTAAAACTGGGAAGCAAGGTGCGTAGAGTGAAGCACAGGCACCCCTGAAAACACATCCAGAAAGAAGCGCTTGATGCGCCCCACTTCATTTCATACAGTGAATAAATGAAGTGTGTTATCAGCTTTACAGTACCAGGAGTACACTGAGATGTATTGAATTAATAGAGCCCTGTAACAAGGACTTAATTATCAACCCATGCTACTGTAAGGCTTTGGAACATTCAGCTCTGTTACTTTTTAAAAATAAATCTTCAATTATACAGCTGATTTTACTTTAAAGATCTGCCCTGTAATGGCTCGGAAAGTCCAATGCTTCTTTATCCTTGAAATAGTGAGACTTATTATTCTTTCTTATAAAGGTAAGAATATTAGAACAGTTACTAATGAGAAGAGGTTAGTCAGCCTGTCTAGCCCCTAGTAGTAGATAGTAACTAATTCATCAACGTTTTGTGGGGAACACTGAAGCTAGCTTTGTATT